ATCTCTAATCCTCACTAAGAACCCTGATGGTCAGTGTTATTTACCCTGCTTTATAGAAAGAAATCCAGCGAGAATGAAGAGCTCGCCTGGCAGCAACAGAGTATGATTATAAGCAAGGAACTGACTCATACTTGATTCTGTCAGACTTGAAACCCTGAACCCTCTATGCAGCCTGATAACTCCATGTACACAGCTTTCCCCGAACATCTTACTCACCCCCTCAAGGTCAAACTTGACTCATTGCTTAGCAAGACCATCCCCACCCTACTTCAGCCGGAGCCAACCAGCGCTTCACCATGTGCCCATTGTACCCCACTTGTCCTCTAACTGTGTATCAGCTACACTATGTTGAAGCTGCCTTTTACATATCTCCCCACCTCTAACTAGAATTCTAAAGAAAGAGGGCAAACGTGTTTAAAGATAAATAAAGAAAAGAAAGCAACAACACTGTCCTCAAAGTGCTCAGATGTTATAGTGTTGATCCCCAGGTTGCTACAGTATCAAAGTCCCTGACAAGGCAGTGCATGGAACTGTAAAAGTGAAGTCAAAGCTGCAAGGGGGACACAGAGTGTAAAGCACTAGCAATAAGTCATGCCTGCTGAGGGAATGTGAAGGCAGAGCCAGCGGAAAGAGGGACCACATGAGCTGCAGCCAGCAAAGCTGTCAGGGTGGGGCTCTCAGAGCATCACAAGGTGCCCCAGATGCCAGGTGTGGAGCTGTACAATTTAACGCTTGCACTGCTAGCTTTCAGTCTCCTTTGGTTCAATCCATCATTATTTCCCTTTTCCCCTGTTGGAACAGGAATGCTTATTCTTTGCCCCTCCATCATTATATCTTGGAAGAATATAACTTGAGTTTTTATTTCTTGAGGGGGATCATAGTTAAGAGTTTGCCTTGAATTTCAGAGGAGACTTTGAATTTGGACTTTTGAACAGTACTGGGGCAGTTAGACTGAATGCATATGAATTGTGAGATGGACGTGAACCTTGGGAAGGGCAAGGATAGAATGCTCTGATGTGGATACAGACCGTCCCCAGAAGGCCTATATGCTGAAGGTTCAGTTCCGATCTTGGCCGTAATGGCGGGTGGTGGAAACTTTGAGGCAGGGTGTTCTGGGAGGTTTTCAGGTCACTGTGAACCAGCTGCCCTCAAAGATGCTTGTGGACATAATGTGAGCAATTTCGCTCTGTGGCCTACACCTAATGTGATGCACTGCCAATGCTTAAAGCAACAAGCAGGCTAACTAATCATGTGCTGAGACTTCCAAAGCTGAAGCCAGAATAAACCTTTTCTCTTTATATGTTGATTATGTAAGGTATTTGTTACAGTAACAGAATCATCTCTACCCAATATCATATCTCTTTCTCTCTTTCCTTCTCTCTCTCTCTTTCTCACTCTGTCTCTCTCTCTCTCCCTCCCCCCTTAAAGAAAAATAAAGAAAAGAAAGCAATGTAATCCACTCCAGGTAGTGGCTAAGACCTCCCTCTCTCTCCCTTTATCTCTGTATCTGTCTCCCAAAGAGCATTGAATCCAGGACCTTTGCACTGAATTGCATCCTCAAACTTTTTTTATTTTATATTTTGAGATATTAAGATTTTAAGAAAAGGTCTCACTAAGTTGCTAAGTTCCCCAGATTTGGCTCAAACTTATGCTCCTCCTACCTCAGCCTCTCAGAGTGCTAAAATTAACCAGTGTATCCCACCAGAGCACGGTCATTGCGATGCACTTCCTGTATGTGTTATCATCTTTGAATGCAAGTTCTTCCACTTCCCTTGGCTCATTTTCACAGAGCCATACTTGCCTCACTCACACTTTCAAAGTTGCACGTGTACATTTTTCTTATGGGCACAAGTGGCACCAATGAAAACTTCTTAAATCAGATTCAGCACTTAGAACCATGTTAGCCTCTTGAGCTCTCAATATAAAAATGCTGAACAAATGAATGATGCTTAATCAAAATGCACTCAAAGATGGTTTTAGTCCCAGAATTCTACTTTACCCTAAGAAAATAAACAGAGTTTACAGTTTACAGTTAAATAAGGATTGACCTGTGGTTCTTTAGATGCAGAAAAATAGTTGCCTTATCTCTTGCTCTTTCTTATAACTCCTTTATCTTCTCCTCTGTTTGGCCTGGGATACGTAGTGAGTTCAAAGCTACCCTGAACTATATGGCAAGACCTTGTCTCAAAAAAATTGAAGACCCAAGAGGAGAGACCCACTCTAGTAGAAAAACATACTGCAAAACTGTAAGAATTATAACCACATGATACTGGCATAGGAACAAAATAAACATGGTATGCTATAGTACCATGTATATTTAAGAATTAATAGGTGATCAACATAGTAGTACAAAGACATTAGAAAAGAGAATCTTTTAGTCAGTGGTGTTGGGAAACTGGTTTGCTGTAAGAGAGAGAGAGCTGGAAGGTTGTTTTATGCCAATAGATTTCAAATTAAATGCATACCTAAGTACAGAAAGTAAAATTATAAATCTCATAGAAGAAAATGTACTTGAATGCTTATAATCAAATAACCAAAAGTATAAACCATGTGACAAAAACCCTCAAAAGAGGTTAAATATCACAACTTGATAGTCATGGATTTAACAAGAAGCACCACAAGCAAAGATAACAGGTCCAGAACAGACTGGAAGAAAATACTGCAATATCTAACATGAATAATAGTTTAGATCCTAGGCCCTGCCATAAACTCCAAATCATGAAGAAAAAGGTGAGAAATCTAATTTGTTAAAAAAGAACAAGGTTATGAATAGGCAATTTAGATACTAGAAAGCCAAATGAATAATAAATTAGTGTTCTTACTACCTAGTAATCAATGTATGCAAATTAAATCATGAATAAGACAATGCTTTTCACCCATCAGAGAAGCAGAAATTGGAAGAGTGAGTGATTCATGATTAAGGTAAGCATGTGAAGAGTTGAGAAACGCTATGCACTGCTTTCTGGGAGCTTTAAACTGGTACAGCTGTCTTTGAAAGCAATTTAGTAGGACTTGGTAAAATTATGGTTATTTATGTCTACATGCAATAAGATTCCACTTTCATTTGCATATCCCAGAGATTGTGCACAGATCTATTAAGGGAGTCAGAATGAGGGTGTTTATCAATAATGTTATCAGATTTAATATCAGGAAGCTAAGCTTGTGGGTCCGTCCTTGGAAGGATAATTAAGTACAACTTGCTGGAGAATAAAATACCAGGCAACCATGGGACAGTGTACACTAGATACACACAAATCAACATGGACAGACTTAAAAGCATGGTTTGGAATGGGAAAAGTCAGACTCAGAAACGATTTGATCAGACAAACTTTCTAGATAAAGTAAAATTCAAGAATGCACAAAAAGTCCAGAAATTTTATGGCAATATGGTTATTGTCAACCTAAATAACACAGAAAGAGAGAGATAGAGATTCTCCAAAGACAATGAATTTAATCAAGAATGAACACTGCTATGGGCAGAGGTGTGCCACAATAAATTATGGGAGTATTCAGGGAGGCAAAGAAAGACAAGGCGTTTAAAAGGTAAAATAAGGAGGATTGCATTAGCGATTTTGAAACAATTATTCTTGTCTACAAGGATCAATAATAATGGTGGCATCAGTCCAGTGTTGAACAGGCAGTTGCTGGGTAGATATCCTTGCCTAAGTACTTTTTGTTTGAGGTTGTAGTAGCTTTGTACAAAGTGGTGATTCTAACAGAGTCTCTTATAATAGTTTTTTATGATCAGACACATGCACATGAGACCTTCTTCTCTGTAACCACATTTTTATTTCTTCTTTGTTGAGGTTTGACACATGGAATCCATTTTGACTCTGACAACCTTCATTCTATTTAAACTTTTATATAAATCTTATCAGTATAGGAATCTATGAAAAATGGGGAATGAATATAAAGACCACAGATAGGAGAAGACACAAATAAAAGTAAATTTAAAGCAGGTCTGGAGAGATGGCCATGGGTGGACAGGTGCCAATGGTGAGATACAAACCAAGGTTTATAAAGCACTCCACCTTGACATCTGAGGTCCTAAAAAAAAAAGAGCAGCAAAGAACAGAGGACAGAGAGCACACAGCAAGGGAATCTAAAGCCGGTGGTGACACTGGAGCAATCTGCTCATCTGCTATCCCCAGATCTATTACTTAATAGACTTAACCTTATGCAAACTACTTCACTGAATGCTGCCCCAGTTTCTTCAGCTGTAAAATAGAAGGACTGATACCTACATCAAAGGTTAGATGGTATCCATGCAAAGAACCTGATGAATAGTAGGGACTTGGTGAACATTAGCCAACATTGTTTTTGCATCAGTTCTGTTTTCAATAGTGAAGCTACGTACTTTGAAAGAAGAGCAATGACATCACAAGGAATACATACATAGGATCTTTTAATCAAACATCTTCCAGGTCACTGGATCCCACCAAGAGACAAAACTAGCATCCCCACAAAGTTGCTATGAGGGTGAGTACATAGCAAGTGTCTGTAAATATTATTTACTAGTATTATTGCCAGGAATCAGTTATACAACTCTAAATAAAAGATTCCATGTAGAAAGTCTTTCACCAAGCACTCTTCTGTAATAGTCAGTTCTACTGAACCTTAATCTCATAGATGAATCCAACACCAAATCTGTGATATCACCTCCTTGGAGTTGAGTAGAGACATTACCAATCTCTGGTGTCTGTGTCCCAAGGAAGAGGCTTAGGATATGATAGATGCTTGCACTCTAGCAGAGACCCCAGGGGTTAGGCTGCCACTCTCAGAGATCTAAGGCAGCCCTTTGCCAAAGGCTCTGGAGAACTCTGGTTCTGGCTTTAGTAAAACTATTCACTCTCACCCAAGGAAATGATATTTTAAATTTCCAAAACTGTTTATGCCCAAAGTCTATTTGTCAAATGATTACTTCACTTCTGCTGAATTTTATTCATCCAGATCCCTAATGCTTACCTTTCTGGAGTCTGTAAAATTATAAGAGGCTTTCAGTCACATGATATGCCTTCAATTGCCAGTGCAGATGGGAGGTTGTCTCTGTCTCCAAACAGTAGTGCATATTTCCACCAGCTGGGTGGCCAGCCCTGCACTAGGTCCTGAGGCTATAGCACATTCTTCTTCTGGAGGTACCATTGTCCTGGAGATGAGCCAAAGTTAAGATGTTCCTAAAATGGGTCTCCAAACTAATATCTATCAAAACAGGTTCTTATTATAATTTTCCTGGGCCAGCCCCAGGTACTTTTGCCATTTTGGAACATTTTTGTCAAAAAATTTCAACAAAAAATTAAAACTTTTACGTTATGATTGCATTGGTGGAAAGATCAATATAATCCAGGCAAGATTCATTTTTATATATTGAAAAGAAATTAAAATTATTTTCATGGGGTCCTGAAATAATTATGGACCTTAGCTTCTATGCCTGCTGGGCCTAAGTGGGTGGATTAGCCCCGTATTGGACATTTGATATATGCTTCAGACCATTAATTGCTCGAGGATTGTAGGGAATGGTGATAGTAAGGAGGAAGAAAGGGAGAAAGATAATGACAGTAGATATCATTAAGCACTAAGGGCTGGGGAGATAGCTCAGCAGCACAGCGCCTGCCTGGCAAGTGCAAGGTCCTGAGTTCAATTCCTGGTACCAAAAAAAAAAAAGACCTTTCTTGTATGACAGGCACTATAACAAGGACTTCATACTGGTTTTTCTTAATCTAACAGTATATGATGCTGTCATTATAATTCCATTTTATAGGTATAGAAACTAAGGCTCAGGGAGATGAGTAACTTCTATAAGGCAGTAAATGGTACAGCTGGATCTTGCCAGCTACTAACCCTTACTGCATAGCCTCCGCTTTCTATAGCCTGAGTAAGACAGAGCCACAAGTATTAGAATCTAAGGGTAGCAACAAAGATGAGTGGGGGTCTTTCAAATGGTTCAGATTATAGCTCAAATAGGCCTTCAGCTGGGGATATATCTCAGTGGCACAATCATCTACCTGGCAAGTGTAACGTCCTGAGTTTGATTCCCGGTACAAAAAAAAAAAAAAATCAAATAGGCCTTCAGTAGATGAGGAGAAACCTAGAACCACCCTTACCAAATGCATGACACTTATTCAAGGCCTGTGTTAGTCAAGGTTCTCCAGAGAAATAAAAGCAAAGGCAGGTGGACATATTGAGCTTTATTATGAGAACTGGCTCACAGCATTATGGAAACCAAGGACAAGGAGTCCTAGAGTCTGCTTTCTGTAAACCAGAGAACCAGGAAGCTAGTGGTGTAATTCAGTCCACATCTGGGGGATGGGTATTGATGTGAGTCTCAGAATTCAAAAGCCTAAGAATCCAGAGCGCTGATTCTCCAGGGCAGGAGATGATGGATGTCCCAGCCCAAGAAGAATGAAAGGGAATTTTTCTTCCCTCTGCATTTTTGTTCTGATCCAGTCCTCGATGAATTAAGTCATGCCCACACACACTGATGAAGAAGGAGCTTCCTTATTCAGTCAACAAACTCAAATGCAAATCTCTTGTGGAAACCCAATCACAAATACACTTAGAAGTAATGTTTTACCAGCAAGCTGGGCTTTTCCTTATCCTAGGGAAGCTGATGCACAATTAACCACTGCAGTCCAGAAGATGGAAGTGAATTTGAGAGAGACAAGGGGGCATTCTGGGTAGGTAAGAACACCTGAGCAAACATGAGAAAATCATGCGTGAAAAGTCAACAAGGAGCTCTGGATTCTGTCTAGCCTCACTTCTACCCCTAAGTTACTAAGGCTGCACTGTGCGCTTTTAGTGCTAAATGACCTCAGAAGTTTTGCTGTGCTCAAAGGGAGAGTGTTTGTTAGCAAACCAGAGACCCCAGAATCAGCACCTGCTATGCAGCCAAGTATGCAGGAAAACAGGTGCTGTCAAACTGAGAAAATGATTTTATTATTCTTATAAATGATTATTCTACTGCTCTTGGGAACTCAGGAAAAGCTTCTAGCAGAGAAACTCTGCTTCCCAGTGACAGGACTGTTTTCAAATCAGAGTTGGCATTTGCATCAATTTTGCTGAGAGTGAGCAATTCTTTTTTCCCTACTCCTGCATGATGAGGTAACAATAAAAGCTCTGATTCCTTGTATGATAAGAAACTAACATTTGAAACTGCAGCCTGGGGAAAAGATGAAGGCTTTTTAGGCTCAGCTCTTCTAATGGAAGAGGTAACCGTGATGAGAAACACTGTGTGGACTGATGGTGTCTAACAAGATACAGTCAACTGGTGAGGTCAAGCAGAGCCCCTGGCCATCTGTCCGCACCAGGGAAGAGAGGGAGGGTGAAGGGAGAAAAGTTCTCAGCACCCACTGGAGTTGCCGCCTGTCTCACTGTCTCACTGTCTCACTGTCTGCTTCCTCCTCTGGCCACCTGTCCATCTTCTCTGTAAACTTCCCTCTCACAGAGATCAGAAATGTTTCCGAGGCTCTGGTTTGCATATGTTGGCCAATGAGTCCTCCAGGGTTGCCCAAGCTATCAAGGTCCATTGGCACTTCCTAAACTGTTCACCCTGTCCACCTGATAGTGACTTTTCTGGGTTTGTGTCCCTGCCTTGCACTCAAGGCCTATACAGTCTTGTCTGGATTTCCCATGGGGCACAGAGCATCTGTACATCCCCACTGCCATACTTCTGTTCACATGGCCACCCAAACCCAAACCAGACGTTCTCGTACATCCTTTACACCTCACATCCACAATACTATTCACTCTAGGCTTACTGAGCTCCATCTTCTGATCAACCTATGACTTGGAGTCAGGGGCACAGAGACAGCAAAGGCGGAGTACCAATCTCATGGAGCTAGGGAGAGGAGAGAGAAGAGGTTTTAGTCTTTTTCTGCCTCTTTGACAGAATAGCTGAGCCTGGGTAGTGTAAGTATTAGTTTATTTGGTTCACGAGTCAGAAGGTTGGAAAGCCTGAGCTAGCATGTGATGAGAGCCTTCATGCCACATCATTCCATGGCAGAGGTCAGGAGAGCAAGAGAGGACCAAAGCCACTGTCATAACAAGCCACTCCCATGATGACATTCACCCATTCATGTAGGCAGCACCCTCGGGAGCCAATCACTTCCCAACACTGCTGCACTGGGGATTAATTTTCCAAAGTAAGGACTTTGATGGATGCATTAAACAATGGCAAAAGGTGAAAGTACTGGAAATATAGTGTGTTTAGCACAATAGTAAGAGAAAAAGCACATGTACCATGGGGCACATGTAGGTGAGGAAGTGTGGGAGGCCCCTTCTAAGTGTCCAACCCAAATCTTCTCCTAACACCATCAATGGAACCTACTGGACCACGCATTTGAGAAGCAGTCAGTGCAGGGCTTAAGAGCTCACAATTTGGAGCCTAATGCCTGAGTTGCAAATTCCTGGTCTATCACATACAAGCTGCATGTCCTTAGACAAATTACTTAACCTCTCTTAGCCTAAGTTTCCTCATCATAAAATGGAAATAGTAATGGTATTGACCTATTACAGTGTTTGTAAGAATTAAATGATAAACGTATATAAAGTACTACTTAAAACATGATCTGATGCAGTGTTCTTTTCCTCCTTCTCCTCCTCCTGTTCCTCCTATGTCTACCCTAATCATACTACTCTATCTTTTGCTCTTTTGGCCAAAGGGGAAGTGAAAAATTAAGCTGGAATTGGAAAGTAGATGGGAAAGGAGCCACTCTTGACCATCCTTAACCCCAGCAAATGTAGCCACCAGTACAGCCAGGGCCAAGAATATTTACTATTATAATAATAATAAAGCTCACTGGGACCTTGATAATCAACTTCCTGTGGGTAGCAAAATATAACTGTCCCATAAACACTCGTGGAAAGTGGTGTTCAGAAAGATACTGACTGCTTCTACTTAGATACATTTATCCATGCTCCCCCTTCATCTCCAGAATGACAATTCTTCTGTTGGCAACATTCATTGGCTCCCACGTTATACATACACTCCAAAAGAATGCTGATAGCGTTGCATTTTGATTGACACTTTAAAAATAATAATAATAAAAAAAGAAAGTTCTGTCTTGAATTGTCCAAGAATAGTCTCTGCAGTAAGTCTTCCAGCTTCAGGCCTCGGACAGAATTGGAAGAGGAAGTGATCACTTGTCGTCTTTCTTTCTAGGCTGCATTTCTGGCACCACTTCGATGCTAAATGGAACTTTTTAAAAATAGTCTTAACAAGCGTTTTGACAGCAACTCCACTGCGGATACCAGAGGGATATAACTATAAAAAATCAGCATGCATGAAATTTGACCTGCCCTGCCAAATGGCCGGTGACTGCAGCCTTCTTCCAGAGGGTATGTCCAGTGGCAGCAGAATCTCTGGATCATAAATACCTTTTAGAATTATGGAGTTGGATTGATGCTAAAGCTACAAATGCCTCAAACCCAGGAGTGCAATGTGGAATTAGCCAAATGGGAGGTTGTTTATCCCACAGTGCCCAATTCTCTGCTGGGAGCAGTGAGATCCTTAGGGATATTCTGCAGGATAATTCTTTTTGGAGACTTTTCTCTGCAGGACAAAGTCCAGATCAAACTTCACACATCAGCAAATACTGGCTTGGTGGCTTCATCCATAAGCAGTGGGCTTGGCTGGGACAAGTAAGTAGTTCAGAGAGGAAAAAAAGCCCAGATGCTGTCATTGAGGAATAGCATCATGGAGTAGAAGGATCTGGGCCCCATAGGTGGATACATCTGGACTCCATGAAGCTTTAAGAAGTGCCTTAATCTCTGTAAACTCTGGATCCCATTTGTAGAGGTGGGGGGATCCCTCAAGGGAAAACAGTAAGAAATTGTAATGCTTACCAGTACAAATATGGATATGGTCATTATTATGAGGCTATCACTGGCGATCAATCCTGTGGAGGCAGAACAAGTCTCCTGAAGACAGCAAACTGATGTTTCATTCAGGGACCTGCTGCCAGCCAGGATCCCAAAGTATCTGCTATTATGGCACCTACTCAAATCAGCTTCAAGGCCAACTAACAAATACCCTCAATTCTATGTCACTGCTGACCCTACTCACACCAAGCAACAGATGTTGCTACCAATTCCAGAACCACTGTCCTATTCTACTATAGCCCTTTGCACAGGAGATTTCTCCTTCCCCTT